TCTTTGAATTCACTCACCTTACTTAACAGAAAATTCATCGACTAACAAGTCTTCTCAATCAGTGGACGGAAAGAGGGATAGGAGACGGACCATGAACTTCGTCTATGGGTCGATCATTCTTTTGAATGGCATCCATGCTTGGATAGGAGGGATTGAAGGACATAATTGTTAGTGCTGATCTTTGAGATTCCATCTGATCATGTAATTGACTCCCTTCTTAGAAGGTCGAAGAGGTAGAGAGATTCAGGTTCGAAATCACTCTATGGGATAACCATTGAGGACCTGCTGATGTTCAAGCCAACGTATTTATCCTCCCAGAGAAGCCTGGCATCGAACAGATAGAAATAGAAACCAGATTGTCCCAGACAGACGGTTGAGGGAATCGAGGTTTGGGGTAACGACCTAAGTTACTCCGCTACCTGAGTGAGAATGCCTCGAACTTCGACCTATACCTTACATTTATAGATTTTACGAAAGTTCAAGAAGGAACACTGAAGCACTGACTTAAGAGAGACTTTACTTACTTTTTCAGCGAAGTTTCTGAAGAATGTGGCTACAGCATCGCCGGAATTCTCCTTAATGGGCTCACTGTCAACACTTTTACCAGTGCTCACCTGCAATTCATGGGAGATTTTGGACAATTTGCTAGTTTTCAGAACTTTCAATTTTGTTCCTTACGTTCTTGTTGAGTGGTTGCTCTGGAGGAGTCGGGGGTACAACATTGTTTGGATATGGTAATGATGGATCTGCCTGAGACTTTCTGTGCTGTCTCAGAGTCAGTGGTTCTGTGTTGGTAAGCTTCGGTGCCAACTCTGGGAACGCGTCGAGGAGTCCTCCTGATGCGTAGGTCTAAATTCGTACTTTTATGTATTCCTACTTTGCAAAATTACCTACTATATACAAATTGCACAGTGGTATCGGACTGCGATTAGCGATTGTTACTAAGGGTGAAAAAAGCCATTCAATTCAGTCAATTTATTGTGTTAACTCCGAGTGTTTACTTAATTTATTATTCAGTA